CAGCGCCCTTCTTCCCTRCACGACCGCACGTGCTGCACCTCGCCTCTCAGCGCCAGCAGCAGCCCACGAGCATTTGCTCCAGCAGCGCTGCCGCTAGCATGCGAGTGCCTGAATGAGGCTGCGATTCACGCCCAGGGGACTGGACCCACTAGCAAGGTATTCTACCACGCCGTTCAGGATTTTGATCATGTGTGGCATCGAGTGACTCAGTACAGCCGTCGAATAGATCGGATCTCCACGGCCTGGTAGTTTCCGATCGGGGACTGTAAATATGCCCACCTCCCGTCCAATGAGATGCGTCGAAAAAAAAAAAAAAAAACGAAGTTGTACTAACTTGGACATGATAGCTCGTGGCTTTGCGTGGGCGGGAAGTCAGGATTTTACGGGCTCTAAAGGGGGGGGTTGATTTCCAGACTTCGTTGTTTTTTTTTTGGCTCTGAGAAATATTGTGGTGCATCTGACAGGAACGCTTCCGCGTCTGTCGGATGGCCTGCTAAAGGCATCATGAGATACATCGTGAGGAATGTATCCCAATACCCATTACTTGTTCATCCTCGTGAATGTGCTCGTGGACGCATTTTATTGCCACGGTACATCACTATGAACACTTACGTGAAGGAGATGGTACCAACCCATGAATCCGGGTGCACAGCTGTTCTTCGTAGTTTTATGTGCTATTTCAATTCATTTTAAATCAGAAAACGATCCATTCATGCAAATGAAAAATCACTTTGTATTTTCCAAAAAAACATAAAACTGTGTCACACGTCGTAGAATACTTCGCTTGTGGGTCCAGGCCCCAGGGCCTGCATTCTTTGGAAAGGCCCGGTAGGCCCTGGAAATGTCTTTGTTGCTCGGCCTGCGTTTCTCTCAACCAACTGGCGCGTCGCAACTGCCTGGACCCCAAATATGAAATTGACAGTCGAGGGCCTCCTGCGATATGTTAGGCCCGCCTTCACTTAGGGCGGGCACCTTTGCAACAGGGCCCCTCAGGCCTAACGAGGACCCTGATCCTCGCATTTTGATTTTTTTTTAAATACACGAAGTTAAAAAAAAAAAAAAAAAAAAAATGTTGTTGTACATCTTTGAAAGATCTACAACCCTATATTTTTTATTCGCTTTTCTGTTTTTGTTTTAGCCCTTAAAAAATC